CAGGACCAGCTGTGGCCCAGCCAGGCACTTACCAGGAGCACTGGGCAGCAGCTCCTCTCGGGTACCTGGAGGCTGCTGGGCTGCCCCACTCTCCATCCTACCCCCCCACGAGTGTCCATCCCAGCCTGGGCACCAGAGCCACCCCATGGCAGGGCAGGAACAGCATCCACCAGCTCATCCCGGTGTGGAACCTGCTCTGTCCCAACCCCTTGGCACCACTGACTCCCTTTCCCCATCTTCCCCCAGAACATGTAATGAAAAATCTTCAACTGCCTCTGAATTGAATCTTCAATTGCTTCAGATCCTCTGAATCTGCAAGGAAGTCTCAGGAAGAATTTCCTCATGGAAAAGCATTGGCAGGGGCTGCCCAGGGAGGTTTGGAGTGCCCACCTCCGGAGGTGTCCCAGGAAGGCCTGGCCGTGGCACTCAGTGCTCTGGGCTGGGGACAAGGTGGGCACTGGGCAGAGGGGGGACCCTGATCTTGGCAATCTTTTCCAACCTAAAGGGTCCTGTGATTCTGGGATTCCTCCTGCCTTTACCAGGAGCAGGGGCTGTGCCCGTGGCCGTGCTGGGGCAGAGCCATCCTGCAGCACATCCCTCAGCCCCAGTGTGGTGTGGGGGGTGGGTTCTTTTGTATCAGCACAGCTTTTCTGCAGAAGGCAAAGTTGGGTCCCCACTGCAGTTGGTGTTTGAGTTCTGTTATTAATTACAGCCCCAGCTCCAATCACACTCATTAGCTGAATGAGCAATAACACACGTTAAGCCTCTATCTGTTGATAATATTCTCCAATGGATCGAGGATGTGTCATTTGACACTGATAAACTAGGCAATATTATGAGCTGAATGTCTTAAATGCTACACAGATGGGGAATATATTAATTTAAGAAAATGTTATTAAGTGTTTAAGGAGTGTAATTATGAGCAGCCTTCTCGTTTGACACCTGTGTGCAGTGTTTCCTTGAGAGATAAAGGCAGAGGAATGAGGACTGGAAACCAGCCTTCAAATCTCTCAGCTTCTTCTCTTTTCAACTTCCTGCCAAATTAATTACTTTCAAGACACAACCAATATTGTGAAGAAGTTTTGACTGAAAACAATGCCGGTGTGCAGCCCACAGAAATCTTCATTTTAATGCCACATTTATTTGGCAATGCAAGACTCGCTGAGGAAAGGCAGCTCTGCAGTGTGTGACAGGGTGAGCTGCCCATGAGCCAGCAGAGCTCCAACAGCACAGACTGGCACCAGCTGGGGCTGTGCCAGGGGACCTGCCAGGGCAGCTGCAGGATTCACTGGAATTGTGGGGAGAGGAGGGAAAATTAGTCTTATTGTATTGTAGCCAGTTCAAAGTTAGTTGTCTAATTCAAAATTGAAGGAGAAGAGAACACTCTGGGGAGACCTTGGAGCACCTTCCAGGTCCTAAAGGGGCTCCAGGAGAGCTGGAGAGGGACCTGGGACAAGGGGTGGGAGGACAGGACAAGGGGAATGGCTTCCCACTGCCAGAGGGCAGGGTTAGGTGGGATATTGGGAAGGAATTCTTGGCTGGGAGGGTGGGGAACTGCTGTCCTCTGGGTACAAGCTGACAAGGAGAATGGATGGAGTACTCTACAAGGGACGGTAAAAAGTTTCTGACTTGTTTAGCACAGCAAAAAATGATTGAACTGAGGACAGGATTGACAGCTGTGAACACATCAGGAATAGTTATGAGGAGAAGGACAGAACTATTGGAGCAAAAAGGACAGCTGGGAGGAAAATCCCGAGCCACAGGCAAAGTTCAGATGTGCCTGCCTGGGAACTGGGTGTTTGTCACCCCTCAGAGCCACGCTCTGCAGCAGTACCAGCACTGCTTGAGCTGAGGATGCACCCAAGGGCCTCTGCCCAGACTGTAAATTCACTTACGAGAATTTAGGCTAAAACTGGTTGATTTTACAAGCTATGTATAGCTTTCCATGGAAAAATCCTACCCTTGGCACATTTGTTTTCAGTGCAGTGTTCTCTTTCATGTTAAGAGTCCTAAATATCAACATAACCTTTAACACAGTGTGTGTTACCATTGTTAAAAATAAGCTGTGATTTTAAAAACAGAAAATAAATCTATATATTTAATAGCACCAGATGATCACAATAAATGCCTCTTTTCACTTTTGTTGGCTCTTTTGGAGCCCTGTGTTTCCCTGCTCTCTTTTGTGAGCGGCAAGAGGAGGATCAGCGTGGCCCTTGGCGAGATGAGCTGAGGTTCTACCCTGTACACCCTTGCTGCAGGAGCCTGCCAGCATTCCCGGGAATCCTCCTGCTGTGAAGGATGCAGTTGGTTTCACTTTGGGTGGTTTTGCACACAGGAGAATCTCTCTGTGTTCGTACAAACACCAAGCCCCACGTTCTCCTCCAGCGGGCAAGTTCATTCATAGCACATCCAAAACCAACAGAAAAGAGATTTCAGGGCTTCATTCTACTGGAACAGTTAAAATGTAGGAAATATGGAGTTCCTTTGTGGGCTTCAGTTTGCAGACAAGGGTGCTAAGCCTTGTCATCCTTTCCTCTTCCTTGGAGAATACCGACGGGCAAGCAGAGGGTTCCCAAGGACATTTTAACCCTGGATTTTGTAGCAGCTGCTATTCAAAACCAGTGGTATGTTCATTTTTTTTTCTCTTTATTTGTGTTTCAAACCCATCCTCTAGGAAATAAACCACCAGAATCAACATTTCAGCCTTCCCCTCTCCCAGGTGTTAATGGAAAGCAGGAACACTTGGGATGTGCATTTCAATTGGAACCAGCGACACGATTTTTGTCAAGCTACTTCGTGTCAAGCACATAAATAAACATGTGCATAGGGAAAAGGTTCAATATTTCAACACTGCTTTCTTTTTGCCACCTCAGAGATGCAAGCCCAAAACGTTTCTGTCAGGAAGTTTGGGTGAGAAGATATTGGAAGTATGAAAAATGTGCATTTTCTGAAAAATGCGTCACATAAAAAATTGCAGTGTTTCAGGAAAATTGTCATGTCAACTCACATCCCTCAGTTCCTTTGAAACTTCAGGAAAACATCCAGAGAAAAATAATTCCTAGAATTTTTCTTCCCAAACCTGAGTGCAACAGTCCCTTTCCCACCAACACATCTTTTATTGGCAGTGGTAAAAGCTCCGGAGCGTCACCCTCGGTGCTCTTTGGTGTGGAGCCACAGAGATCAGTGCAGAGCCAGGAACAGCAGAGGAGAGCAGAGTGACCCAAATGCAGCCTCCAACAGCAAAGCCCCCGGGGGTTTCCATCAGCCCCTCGCTGGCTCTGTGTGCTCTGTCTCTGCAGAGCAGTTCCTTCCTCAGACAGCTGCAGGATGAACCAGCCAGGGCTCGTCCGGATCGATTTGTAGTTCCTCTCCAGGAACTCACAGCTGAAATACAAATTCAAGCTGAATAAAACATGAAAAAAAATCTTTAAAAACTGCCACTGAAGCACAGAAACCTCTTTTCTCCCTGAGTTATGCTGGCAGAGCAATGGGAATGCTGTTCTGGCCCCCAGCTTGCCTGTGCCTGCTCTCGTCCCATGGGTGGACCCCACACGCTGCCGTGGCAGTGCCCACGTCCCTGGTGTCCCCACGGTGCCCGTGGCTCTCCAGAGCCTGGGTGAGCAGAGAGGACATGGTCAGCAGCCTGGGGAGAGCTGGGCTCTGCTCACTGAACCCCCTCCTCACACAGCCAACCCCTGCCCCGTGCACGGTCGAGCAGGGGGGCTCTGAAAGGTCACCCACCCACGTGTGCACATGCCCTGCATGGCAGCACTGAGCATCCCAGCTGGGCCTGATCATCCTCTTCATCCTCACACGGGAAGAGGTTGGTGTGGGTTGCAGAGTTAGACCCTGCTCACTCAGTGCTTCTCATCTGCTGCTGAAGGACCCGGCGTGTGCTGCTCCAAGAGCAGGGCCACGAACGTGAGAGCCCTGAACCAGACAGTCCCACGCTGGCTTGGGTGGGGAGGGACCTTAAGGCCCATCCAGTGCCACCCCTGCCATGGGCAGGGACACCTTCCACCAGCCCAGGTTGCTCCAACCTGGCCTTGGACACTTCCAGGGATCCAGGGGCAGCCACAGCTTCTCTGGGCAACCTGTGCCAGGGCCTCCCCACCCTTCCAGCCAGTAATTCCTTCCCAATATCCCAGATAACCCTGCCCTCTGCCTGGGAAGCCATTCCCTATGTCCTGTCACTCCAGACTCTTGCAGAAAGCCCCTCTCCAGCCTTCTCGTAGGCCCCCTCTGAACTAAGGATGTGTTGTGGTGAGGGGCTGCTGGACTGTGCTGCAAACGTCTGTCAGGGGGTTGCAGAGCCAGAAGGTCCCCCCTAAGCCTCCTTTTCTCCAGGCTGAGCCCCCTCAGCTCCCTCAGCTGCTCCCATCATGACTGACTTTCCAGACCCTTCTCCAAACTCCTCTCCAAAACACCCAGAACTCCAGCAGCAGGGACACACACACGTTCCAGAGGATCCCCTGTGCTCCCCGGTCCCTGGAGGGACCCGAGGCAGGCAGCACACAGTGTACACAAGGATACTGAACCAAAGGCAACAGCACTGAAATAAATGGCAGGTTCAATTGCTCTACTTTATTAGATGCTGACAAGAGAACATAAATCCCTATCTGCAAAAATCGGTTATGTGCATTTGGACAACTGAATAAGGAGCCCTGAAATATTGTTCTATTTACTTTCAAGGCACAGAACCAAGACACTCTTTGTTGCCTCATAAAATGCAGCATAGTGAAGTTAATACCTCTTTGCCAGCAGCTTTTTGCTCCCTCTTGCCAGAGCCAGCCTCCGTTTGTGAGGCTGCACCATCAATCCCGAGCCCACAAGGCCCTCAGGTTTGTGTGTGTGTTCCTTGAGCCAGGGCTGGAATAAAAGCAGATTATCTGTCCCATCACAGGCTGTCTCACAGCAAGCACTGTGACACCAGCACAGCCAGGGCACTGGGTCACTGCAGACCACTGACCTGCCCCTCTGAGGGCTCTTGTCCCCAAACAGCACCATGGAGGGCAGAGATCCAGGGGTACTGGACACCCTCCTGGAGGGGCACAAGGCAGAGGAGGCTCCATCCACAGGGGCTCATGTGGCAAAAGGTTCACCCACATTTCAGGTTGTTCAACCCGGAGAAAAGGAGGCTCAGGGGGGACCTTCTGGCTCTGCAACCCCCTGACAGGAGGGGGGAGCCGGGGGGGGTCGGGCTCTGCTCCCAGGGAACAAGGGACAGGAGGAGAGGGAACGGCCTCCAGCTGTGCCAGGGGAGGCTCAGGTGGGACAGGAGGAGGAATTTCCTCCTGGAAAGGGTGGTGAGGCCTTGGCAGGGGCTGCCCAGGGAGGTTTGGAGTGCCCAGCCCTGGAGGTGTCCCAGGAAGGCCTGGCCGTGGCACTCAGTGCTCTGGGCTGGGGGACAAGGTGGGCATCGGGCACAGGGGGGATCCATGGGCTGGGAGGGCTTTTCCAACCCAAAGGGTTCTGTGGTTCTGCCCTCACAGCATCGCTGGCAATTCCACCTTCACTGCAGCACAGAGATAAGTGGCAGAGCCTGCAGTGCTCTGTGCTGTGGGTTTGGTCCCTGCCTATCTTCGTTTTTCAACCCAGTTATTCAACACAGTTATTTTTGGGAAGCCCTTGGGACAGATTCAGGCTGCAAATTCAACAGTAGAGTCACACAAACGTGTCCCACTTGTCTCAGCCGGGAGCCAGCGCGGTGGAGCACTCGCGTGGAACTCAGAATCAATGATTTATTCAGCATAAGTGATTTATTTTATTCTGCTCCTTTAATAGCCAAAAGCGAAACTTTCTGTCTTCAGAGGTACTCAGCTCAGTGCTGGGGTTGGTTTTTTTTAAATACAAATAATCCCCAAGTGCTGCTTGCTGACAACAGACAGGACATGGCTGATAACACCCCCTTCGCTCCACGGTGGGACAGGCAATCAAAGGGGCCCAAATTTGCTTTCCAAGAGCCTCATGCAAGGAGTTATTCGCTCACATTTCCTTGGTATGCAAACATTAAATAGCAGGCACTTGGCAAATTAAAATATTTATGAAATTCCAGCTCTGAAATGGAAAGCAGACGTGGCTTCTTGCTGCACCTTTAGGAAAAAAGCTGAGCTGATCCAGAGGTTATATGAGGAATCGAGCTTCTGCTCCCGGCTCTGTCACTTCATCCAGGCACAGCAGCTCCTGCAATTCTTGCACTGAATTTTGTAAACCTTCCCTCATCAGTTTTCATTGATTCTTGTGGGCATGAAGCATAGCCAGTACTTCCCAAACCTCCAAATTGCTATCTCATTAGCAGCTCAGCATGGTGTGCCTTGTGCATCCCAAATGAGGTAGCGTGCCTGTGCATCACACTTCCTTTCCATACATTTCCATGAAAACATTAAAAGCACAGTTATTTTTGTGATTGTTTTTCTCCGTTGGTGTCTGTCCCCCCTTGCTACAGTAGCCGGGTGATTAAAGGGGGCCCACATTCCCGATTTTTCCCTTCAGCTGAGTTCCAGCAGTGTCAGATCTTCAAGCACAACTGAAAACCAGAGAGAGACCGTGGAAAGGGGCAAAGACAGTCTGATAGAAAAACCAAAATAGTGGAATTTTCTTAATTAAAATGCTACCCCTGAGATGAAGGCAGGACCACCACAGGGATGGAACCCCGCGGAGAGCAGGGTCAGGGTAGAGTGCTAAGGACACAGACCCTCTCCAGGAAAGTAGGGGGAAAGTCCTAAAGTCTGTGGAAAAGCAACAGATTGTACCTTTAGCAGAATATGGCCCTGAGCCCTTGGTACCCAACTGGCTCCCAGCTCTCCAGCCCCAATGGAAACTCATCTGCTTTATAGAATTGGAAGTGTCATATTCAATAGCACTTTCTGAACCTTTTTTTTTTTAAAGAGAACTCACAATAATTTGTTGCAATACAGCCCCATTGATTCCTGTTTGGAGCTATAGATCAGGTAATTAGACATAATGAAAAGCAGAGGAGGGAGAAGGATGTAAAATTTCTAAAGCTATAGAGGGGTCGTCACCTGCTGTGGCGCTGGTATCGATTCCCTTCGTTGTACACAAACCTGCAACTCTTGAGAGCAGCAATAATGGCACTTCAAGTGCTCCAATGTCTCTGGAAGCATGAGAAGAAAAGTGTTGTTTTAAAGGCGACTGAGCTGTGAGGAGTGAAATGCTGAGCAGGCAGAGGGGGTGAAGGAGGGGGGTGTGGGGACAGGATGGGTGCCACCCTTCCAGGACAGCTCTGCCGAGGGAGGGTGAAGGAGAGCAGCTGGTGGGTCTCTCAGAGCTGCCTTTTTCTCTGCCTTCACACTGACATCACAGGTTGACTCATGCAGTCCTTTTTCAACTTGATTTTGCAGCTGCTTTTGGGCACAACTTCAGAGCTGGGGGAGGAGAAAGGATGGGGAAGAGCAGCACTGGGTCTCCACCTCCTTCCCTGTGTTCCCCTCACACCCTCCTCCAGGTACATGGAAAACGACCCAGGACTGCCCCGGACCCCCTCCTGCTGTCACCTCTGGGAATTCAGTTCTGATACCAGAGCCAGAGAGCCCAGCAACCCCTCCCTCTCTTTCTTTCTTTTTATACCTCATTTCTTCCAAAGCAAAAGGCCTGAATTCAAGAGTTTTTCACGTCCTGGCTGTTACACTCAAGTGCTAAAACCCTCCTTCCAACAGGCTGATTGCCTTTCGATCACCCTGCAGCACGAAGAATAAAACCCATGGAGTCACAGAGAGAGTTCCACAGCTCCTCTCTGCCAAGAGCCCTCCCGAGAAGGGAACAAGGGATCTGAGATGGGCTGAGATGGTGTTACCTGCGGAAGCCAGGCACGTCCTGGTTAGGCAGAGATCTCTGAGGAAGCTTTCAAGTGGCTCTTTGGATGCTTCTTCATGCTCAGGGCTTAAAATGCCCTTTCAGTGAAAGGGACTAGCAGAAATTTCTCCCAAGGTAAGATTTTCCACATTTGATTCCTAAACATTTCAGGCATCTTCCGCTGCTGTGTGTGCTCAGCTGTTCCCACACCTCGAGCAGCCTTTGCACAGGCATTTTGGCTGCAGTTAAGCCTGGTCTCCAGTCACAGACACTGTGGAGCTGCTGCCCATCACCCCGTGGTTAATGACTCGGAAGGTAAACCCTCCAAACCCCTCCAGTTGATCCGGGAGGGAGGTGGTGGGATGGGAGCAGGTTGTGCCATGCTGGACCCCTGCCCAGCTGATCCAGGCTCTGATGGCTCTTCTATGAAATGAATCATAGAATCCAGACTGGTTTGGGTTGGAAGGGACATCAAGATCACCCAGTCCCATGCCCTGCCACGGGCAGGGACACCTTCTACTAGAGCAGTTTGCTCCAAGCCCCATCCAACCTGGCCTTGAAATGGAAAGCACGTTGAAACCAGGTGTGAACAGAAAAGCACTTCAGTTAGAACATTCTCCTTGCACAAATACACAGGGAATTCCTTTGGAAACACTCCCTTCTTCTTCCATGGGAACTCAGTTGGTGTTCATCAGGCACAAAGCATGGCAAAGTGCTTTCAGCAGCTGAGACATTCAGCGTGAGACTTCCCATCGGGAACGCGGGACGTGTGAAACCGCCTCGAAACAGGGCAAAAAAAGGAAGAGCTGTGCTATTCCCTGGGGTCTGCCACCGTGTGCTCAGGCTCTGCAACTCTTCAGCATTTCTAATAGGGAGCATTATAAATATTCATACAGACACTCAGAGGCTAAAATTAAAGGAGCTTGTCAGGGTTATTTTTAGTATAATGGACGTAGGCAATAAGAAAATCCCCAGCCAGTGACTACATGGGATTGGGGTAACGGTGGTGCCTTTTCCCCCCACTACAGGCAGTGATGGGGGGTGGAAATCAAAACCACTGAGGGAGAGAAGCACGTTGAGAGGAGGCAGGGAGAGGGGCTGGGGGTGATGGGCGTGTTTCTCCACAGAGCGCCCACTCAGAGCAGAATAGATTCATCAGTCATATGGATGAGACACTCCTGTGCTGGGAAAAATGGGCTCCTCGGGGCGGTGGGAGAGCAGTGGGGAGCAGAGAGAGCTGGGGAGCACTGGGGTGTGAGGGGCAGGAGTGAAAGCACAGCTCAACACAGGCTGTGAACTCCCCCGGTGGGGTTGGGGCAGCGGAGGAAGCCCATGTATAAAATGGGATGGAGGCCTCCAAAGTGTTCACTGCCTGCCTGGAACTGCAGTTACTGCTGTGAAAAGGGTGCTGGAGGGCTCTGCTGTGACTGCAGAAGTGCATCAAGTCAGCTGTGGAAAGGGCAGTATGGATGTTAAAAACAAACAGAGGGGGTTCTTCCTGCACATGTGGCTCCGGAGGGCTGCAGGTGGGACTGTGGGGGCTCAGGGAGAGGAGGGGCAGCTCCAGAGGGGGGTGATGCACCAGAACAGAGCTGGGGGAAGCAGACATGGGAATGCTTTTCCTGGAGATGCTTCTTTCCATTTGTTCCACTCCCACATTTTCTCTTTATAAAATAAAGCCCTCAGGCCTCTCCCAGCCCTGCAGGGCCAGGGGGCCTCTGCTCCAGCACAGCATGGCAGCCACGAGCCCATGGATTCAGCCAGGGATTCCTTTCTTGCTTTGGTGCTTTTAGTTTTAATCTTTTACAATTTGTAGAAGCATCTCTCAAGGCATGAACTCCTGGGATGCTCAAAAAAGCTGCACAGAACTGGCAGTGGGCGGCTGCCTTGCCTTCTGCAGGTGCTCCGAGGACATGGGAACGGCTCCGGCTGCCAGGAATGAGCTTCCCTGAGGTGTTGGTGTCCAACAAACCTCCAGAGAAGGGAAAGATCCGCCTTCTGCTCCTTTTAAATGCATGTTCAAAATCTGCTGGGAGAATGAGCACGTCCTACCCCCCTCAGGGGGGGCTCTGGGTTACGTGGGGGTGTCGGGGGTGCCCCAAGTGCACGTTGGGACAGGGAGGGATGGAAAAGCTTCCTATGAGGAAATGCTGAAAGAGCTGGGATTGCTCAGCCTGGAGAAGAAAGGCTCTGGGAGACCTTACTGCAGTCTTTTGGTACCCAAAGAGCCCCCAAGAAAGCTGGAGAGGGACTGGGGACAAGGCATGGAGGGACAGGACACAGGGAATGGCTTCCCAGGCAGAGGGCAGGGATAGATGGGATACTGGGAAGGAATTGCTGGCTGGGAGGGTGGGCAGGCCCTGGCCCAGGTTGCCCAGAGAAGCTGTGGCTGCCCCTGGATCCCTGGAAGTGTCCAAGGCCAGGTTGGCCGGGGCTTGGAGCAACCTGGGCTAGTGGGAGGTGTGGCAGGGCTGGTGCAGGGTGACCCCCCAGCCCAGGCCAGGCAGTGTCCCCAGGGGTGCTGGTGAGGCTGGATCACTGCTGTGGCACTGCAGTGTCAGGATATTTTTCCTGTACCCAACTGTTTTCAATCCCTGGATTTACCACACACCCTTCATTCCTGTGTCAAAGCACAGAAGTGCCTTTGCCTTTCAGTTCATGATTCAGATTTCTTTCTTTTTTGACATAATGTGACATAATTCAATGTACTCTTTGCAATTATGTACAGTTTGATTGTGGCTGGTGTGTCACTCAGGGCAATTATTTCTTTTTAATAGTAGTAATTGATACTCTGAGTTGCCAAAGATAAGAAATCCAGCAGTAAGCAAAGCCATTTGTCATCCCTGCAGCCTTGATAAATAATAATTGAACTGGCTGCCTGTATTGACAAACAGAGAGGCTGCTCTGATCCCAGGGAAATGCTAAAAACCTAAAAAGCAGCGTGTTTTTGAGGGAGTGCCATTTATCCAGAGATAAATCTACCACTTATTTCTTGGGCTTTTTTTCTTCTGAGGAGCATTTGTTATTACTCAAAAAGCCAGTGATATCAGATGGGAGGTTCTTCAGAGTTTTATCCAATAATGCTTTATATTTATTTATTAATATGTAACATTGCCTCCTGTCCTTCACAGGCAATCTCCTCAATCTTAAAAGAAAAAAGTCTTTAAATAAATAAAAAACCAAGGTAGCGTTTGACTTGGCAAACAGCTCTTCCAGGGAATTTTCACCCATCCAGCTGGGACAGGGTCCTGGGCAGTGTGCTGCGTGGGCTGTGTGCCCCTGGCAG